GATGAAGTATATAGTTTTATAATTACTAATTGTCCAATTTCAATCTGATTTTGCTCACTTGGGTTGCACAACTATCTTACGAACTAAAGTGCAGCAAATAATATATTAATTTTAGTTAAATTAATAAATTTTGTAAAGTATTTATTCATAAGCTTAATAACCTATATATTCTATAAATTAATATAAAAAGATTTTAGAATTTTTTATTAATTTGAAATATTTCATATTCCTCTATTAAAAAACATGATTTTTTATCGTTATTTGAAGACGAAGAGATATTTTTGTAGTTATTTGAAACCGAAGAGACATTTTTGTATGTAGTTGAATTTCTTATTAGTTTCTCATATGCATAATGATAACCTTCACTAGTCCAACAATTGGTAGTTACTTTAAAATTCACTTGCACGTAAGATCATAACCAGATCCAAAAATCGGACCACGTACAGAGCTACAGTAAATTGCTTTCTCTGGTTTTTTCACACGACTTAAAATAGAATTTTGAATACTACTATTTTTCAATGAAAAAATAAAGCTATCATTGCATCTCCTAAATAGTCCATTATATTGACTATCCCAATCAATAGGATTATATCCACCAAGAATTTCATCGGCGCCCTTAACCTTAATAACTACAACAAGATGAATTTTCATATCACACAATTTCCAAAACGAAGCAGCAGTAAAACCATCTCTGCTTCCACGAAGGAGTAATTTAAATTCATATGGAACTACTGAATATGTATAATTTTTCTTATCGACCCATAAAGCAATTTCCGCTGCATGTGCTTCATTAATAATATTTGAAAATGGATCAACAATTCTAGTCGATAATGTTGGTTTTAAAATTATTCGAGGTGGAAGAACGGTAGAAGATGTTGGTTCGTTTGTCAAATACTTTTTCATGATATCTTTCCAAAGTTTTTTTTCAAAAATTTATTGATAAGGTTGCAAATTATTAATTATATCATTACCAGTCATTTGAAAATAACGAATATGAGGTAAACAATTTTGTAAAGTAGTCTTTAAAGTAATAAAATTCTCATTGGACCAATCTTCAGAATCTGATGATAATCCAGAATTTTGAGCAATTCCCCATTTTATAATATGATTCCAAATTTTTACTTCTTCCATTTGTAAATCATCTCGACTAATAAGTGAAATTAAAGCGTTTTCTTGAAGTGTGAAAAATTCATCAGAATCAAAATCATATTAGGGTATTTTACCACAATATCATTACACCAGTTTTGTAAATCTTGAAGCTTATTATTCTGAAAACTTTTTTGATAAATATGATTAAAATTTAAACGAAGCCAATGAGCCTCCTTTTCAATTAAGTGAGATTGAAGTTGTTTAGCTAATTCATCAAAGAGAAAATCATAAGCAATGAGCATAAGCTCAAAAATAAATGATACATTAGGTTTTTCAAGTACGACTATTCCTCCGTAAATATATCTGTATAAAATTTATGTATATTTTAGATTTCTTGTAACGTAAAATGTATAAATTATGAATTATATAAAATATTCTTTTATAAAAAAATAACTTACTTGATAATAATTTCAAAATGTTGAATAGAAATATTTTTTAAATTAATTGTTTTAATATTATTCTCGTCTTTATTGATATTCGTTAATCCATTGCGAAAATATAAAGATCTGTATCTTAAAATTGCTGAATGAGCACGGAATACTTTTGTATTTGGATATTCACCAACATTAATGATTATATTAAAATCTTCTTTATCATTAAGAAGTTCAAGATAATTATTTGAAAGATTTTCAAAGAATTTTAATGCCATTTTAATTAAATTAAAAAATTTAACGATTAATAGTGTGTAATGACCTATTTTTATTCTGATTTTCTAACTGTAGACCACGTGCTACGATAGTACTGCCAACGGAAATCGGCGTGTCGGTCGCTAATTGAATCGAGACCTTGTGTAACCTACGTTTGATAAGAGGCGTTTAGAGTGATCTTCTTGAAACTTATATTGAATCTTGGTTATGACACACTAGCACTTATATTGCCAATCTGCAATATTTCTAACAAAACCACGGCTTGAGTTCTTCCACTTGAGCTCGAAACCAGAACCAACAAACCACAGATTCCACAGTCCGTTGGGGAAACTGGAAAATAACCACAACTGTCCACAATACGTTGGGAGAGTTGTAAAACCACGGCAGTCCTTATTCGTCGAGAATCAACCGGAAAACAATCTTCTGCGAAGTCACATGAGCAGGTCAATTAACAAGCGAAGATCTTTCACTACCACTTAGTGATCGTTCAGGGTATAAAGTATTTAGTATAGCGGGCTATTTAGATACTTAGGGTTGTATTGGGTCAATTCGGAAATTTTATTAGGGAATGATAATTGTTAGCAAACGGAACGTATTTTCCTTAGGGCCTTCACAGCCTTTATTTATAATAAAAGATTTGGTATTACAATAAATTCAATAAATGTGATATATTCGATATTTAATATATTTAATATATTTGATATATCAAATAAACGTGATAAATTGCACTTGATCCCGTGTTCGTGGGTTGTACAGGGCCATAGTAGGTTGTTCGGTTGTATAGGGCGTACATGAGACTCGTATGTATAAGCAGTCAGCTATGATTTTTGGGTATTAATAAAAAACCCAGTATACTATATATTGCACCTTTTACTGTGCATTATCTAATATAAAGATACAGTAGGTATATTATTTTTATACAAATATTTTTATCATATTAAATAAACCACAGTTGTACTTCTTTATAATTACTTACAGTAGTTTTTTTATACAAAAATTATAAGCTGTGCTTATATAGAAGTATTTTTTATAAATTTATGAATAATTTTTTTTTAAATTTAAGGTGATTATATAGAATTTGTAATTATATAGAAGGTGATAATGCTATTAATAATTATAGTTAAGTTTTTTTAAAAGAAATTTTAAAATTTATATTTAATTTTAAAGTCAAATTTACAAGTTTTATATGTTAAATATATGAAATTTTGAATTATGTACTTTATAATTTTAAAAATTCAATTTAATATTCATTTAGCCTGATGAAACTTATATATTATAGAGTATAAATATTGAATTTATTAATTATTAAAAAAAAGTTTTTTAATAAAAAATATTCAATTTTTTATATGGTTTCTTATAAAAAAAACTATTAGATATTACTTTTTCTGCCTATTATATGTATGCATAATTCAAAATTGGCCTGAATCTACTATCAAGAGAAATATTTGTATATATACAACTTAATAAATCTTATATACTCTACATATAAGTATTATATCTAATCTTAACCAAGTTACAATCTTTTAAATAAATTAAATAATAAATCATTATAATAACAATAATATATTGTTATTTATTATTTTAATTTAATTTTACCAGTTTTTGAAACTCTTAATAATATCAAATATTAATTAGTTTTTACTTAAGTCTAATTATAACAAATTTACATATTGATATTAACAAAACAGATTTATGTACCAACAAAATAGAATAGCTTATCTATTTTAATATATTTGGATATAGGCTTTTAAGCTATAATTATAAACAAATAATTTTTTTAAAAAAGTATATAATTATTTATTTAGACTAAAAGCCTATACTTTGAGTTATATTTAAAAATATTAATTATAATTAATATAATTAAAATTTGTTATGTGTATAAAAATAAAAATAAAAAAATATTAATTATCTTTTATTAATTAAAATAAAAAAATTATATTAGAAAATATTAAATTTATAAAAACTTATATATTATATAATAAATCAAAAAAATAAAATAAAGTAATATCAAATAATTTAAATAAAAACAATTAATACTATAAAAAACAACAAAATTGTTAGAAATTTTCAACACAAGCAAAATTTAAAAATTTATATATATATATTCATAAAATCACATTATTAAATAGAAATTCAAATAACAGTTTGAGTAGCATTCTAATCATGTCATTTAACAAGATAAATTTTTAAATTTTACTAATACAAATTAAAAATTTTAAAAAAAAAATTTTGAGAAAAAGTTTGAAAACTGTGAAAATATATATATTTATATTTTAATTTTTGTGCAAATTATTTAAATTATAATATAATTTTAAAAAAAATTGAAATATTAGAAAAAATAAAAATAAAATAATAATTAAATCAGATTTACTATATATAATAAAAAAATAAAGTAGTATTAAAAAAGAAAAAAAATAATATATATAGGATATTTTTATTATATATATACAAACAAACCAAATATTATCTAAAATCAGTTATATTTATATAGTAATTTAATTTTCAGGTTCAATTTCTTTCTTATAATTTTGAAAAAATATAAAAGTGTAAGTTTATTTATAATGCTAGTAGGCTTAAGATATTATAATTATATGAATTAACTTATTTTAATGTTTTTAATTAACAAGTACAAATATCATATATTTAAATAGAATATTTGAATATGAGAAAGCTTTTATAAATACAATTACTATTTTAAATTTGTAATTATTATAATATTTTGATCATTTTATGATTAAATACTATATATTTGGAATTGATCTATATAAATAATTAATATATAAGAATTGAAATATAGATACAGAAATAACCAGAATTATTCATAGTCTTAGTTGCTAGATTTACTATTTTTCTCTATTTATTAAACAAAACCAATTACATTATCAATTAGAGTAATTATATTGATTAAAATTTTTTTATTTTTTTTTAAAATAATTATTTTTACTATTTAATACTAGTATTTTGTTTTTTTTAAATTTTAAAACTTTTTAGTATATTTAGTAATATTTTATATGAATATTTAAATAAATTTTTGCCAAAAACTTTTTATTATATCTACTTTTTAAATCATACTGCTATATAAAAATTTTAAAAACAAAATAAGTATTAATTTTTTATTTTATTTTGTTTTTGTAAGTATATAAAAAAAATTTTTTATTCAGGTGACTGGTAGATTACTTATTAAAAACTTTTATTTATTAAAATTTATATTATTAATAAATTATTTGAATCTTGGCTATTCTCATTCAAAGAATCAGAATCCCATTTATCATCAGTATTGTCCTCATTGTTAAAACATTCATCAACAAAACCTCTTCATCAGAACTCTGTCCATTAACAAAATCCTCTTTGTCAAAACCTTGTTTGTTAACAAAACTCTGTTCATCATTAAATCCTTCAAAGCCATGCTGACTTGTATTAAACAAGTTATTCTATTCATCATCAGAACTAACAAATTGGTTTTTTACAACTCGACTATTTAAGAAGTTTTTCAAAATAAACTTTTTATTTATTTTGTTTTTAAAGTTTTATGAGAGAATTATACGTATAGTTAGTTTGCCGATATACCAAATTAGAATATTAAATTCTAGAATGATCTATATACCGATTCTTACATTTGATTGGCTTTCATATTCATTATACTCGCCTTTTTCAGTATTAGCAAAAAAATTTTTTATACTAATTATTATTATTTGAAACTTTTCAAATAAGTAATATAGTACATCAAGTTTCAATAATCCTATTTAATTTCTTGCAGTAAACCTTCTTCAGCTAAGTAAATGAGACTTTAAAAATCAATACTTGTACCAAAGAAATGAACTGTAATAACATTACTTGTGCATTAATTTAATAAGCAAAAGGCTAGTTTTTTTTTATTTCAGATATTAGGTATATAAGTCATTGTTAATACAGATCTTAATATCCTTAGAATGGTTATTCTATAACATTTATTTACATATATATATAGTATATTTATGGACTTTGGCATTGTATAGTAATAAACTTGGATCTGGAGATTAGATTAAAAACAGCATAGTGTCTGTCATGTGATTCTGACAATGCAACATAATGGACAAGTAGAAATAATAATAATGATAACTGTACAAAAGCATTTCAACTTAGAGCCTTTGCAAATAAAGATATAGTTTTATTTGCAAAAAAGATAATATTATAAAAATTTGCAAAGGTGAATTTGGATTTATATATAAAGCAACAGGCTTGATGGTATGTAAAAAGTTGATGATGATGATTATAATTATGTGAGAGTATATGAACTATCTAATATTGTTGTACTCAAGTTGTTGGACAGATTTAAGAAAACAATAGTAACTTTTTAAATGAAGTAAGTTAATTTATTAATTCAGTTCCTGACAAACATATGCATAAAATAATTTTTTATAATAACTTTGCTGACAATATTATTTTCTAATGTCTACTATTATTTATATTTTTTATTCAGTCAACTTAGTTAACAATTATTATTTATAAGTCGAGATATAAAGTTTATTAATCAAAGTGCAGAAGTATTTAAAGTAAGCACATTTAGTTTTTTTTTATTTATGCTAATAACTAGTAGATGAATATACTAACTATTTTACAATTAAGATATTTTTAAAATAGGTGATACATTTCTTATTTAATTTGTGTTAACTTAATAAATAGGTATAAATTATGATGGCATTAAAATATACTTGTATTTTAATCTAGTATATTTCAAGTCTAGTATTAATGCAATATTATATACTTTATCTTGAGTTTACTAATTTATTTAAAGTTATATATTTTATTTAGTGTTTAAAAAATTAATTTGGCATCTAGATTAATAAATATAAGTTACCCAATTATATAAATTTTTATTATTGTTTATATTAATTTTTAGTTCATGCATAGTTAATAAATAAACTAAATAAATAAATATGTGCTTATTCACCTATAACAAAGAATAATGTGAAAACCAATGTATTATTTTAAATTATTTTTGAGTTTGGTTTTTTTGTATAATATATTGTATATTTTTAATTCCAGAATTCGTATTATATTACAGTGTAACCAAATTCTAGAATCTTCTGATCAACATTTCTATACCAGAAAAGAAGTGATCTACATTGTTCTAATTTGGTATATCAGTGGACTGCAGTATGTACAGAGCTGATAATTTACTATGATCACAAAAAACAGCCTTAAAAACAGTTAACTACAGAAATCACCTTTATCATTGCAGAATACCACAAAAATCTAAAAATGTAGTGCAGAATATCACAAAATTCTATAATACCACAGGATTTTCCATAAATTCAGATTGGGCAATGGGAAATCCTAAAAATGTAAATTACAAACATGTTTGTCGGGAAGTTATGGAATTTTGCACATTTGTATTTTTAAAATTTTTAATCACATCAAATCACAGAATCAAACTAAATTACTACAGAATTATGCAGAAATTATTTATTCATTACAGAATTTCACAGAATGTATTAAAAAAAACAGCACATGACATCACAGAATTTTTCTTAACCAAAAACAGAATTTGGTCTTAACCAAAACAGAAAATCATCGGCCCTAAGTATATATTTATAGAATACAAATTTAACAGTATAAACAAATTTTTGTGTTACTTTATTTTTAATTTCTGTATTCAAGTATTGTACCTCATGCATAAACTATACCATAAATACCTGTGTAAAGTACCCCTTGATCGGTACCCTCCTGATTTGTACTTCTGGATCAGGGACAAATGAAATTTGTGATTTAATATGATTTTAGACTGCAACCAAAATTAATTATGTATAAAATTAATAGTTTATACAATAATTATACATTTGATTATTAACATATATAAGAATAATAATACCAAATTTTTATGATGAAAATTTTTATTTTTTGAATATCATAATACCAAAAGTTGGATTTCAAAATAATAATAAATCATGTTTTTAAAGTGTAAAACACTTGTGTAAATGAAAGCAAAAAAAAAAACAGGAACGTGAGGATCAAATTTTAAATAATATTCACAAGCAAAAAGAAAATCTAAAGTGCTTGAATATATAGTTTACAAAAAACTTATGGATGTTGAAGGAAAAAGCAATATATATATAGATCTTGAGATAGTTAATGAATTAGAAATAATAATATAGAGAGGTGTAGCGACTTAGTGTAGTGGTCTAGTCATCACCCTCTCCAAGTGGCAGGTCTAGAGTTCAAATTTTACGGATACCGATATTTGAAAAATAGGCTTGTGTTTGGTTGACGGCTATGCTTATCGGTTGGATCTAATCTGTAACTTCGGTCACACTATCTAGTAATGGGAGCAATGGCGCAATAAATCCAAGGAACCGGCATAACCAAAAACCCATTTGGGAAGTCCCGAGCTAGGAATAATAGTGATCTTTGATGGTATCACAAGAGGGCTGAATTCGAACTGGGGCCTGAGATCGGAGAACCGAATGACCAGGTCCTAATGGTAGAGGACACACCAGCCGAACTGCCAGGTTCTGTTGCACCAGAGGAAAAGGACATATGCTCTGAAAGTATGTACCAAGGGGAGGGTGTCCTTCAGGCACCTAAAGCTGGGCAAACCAACCCTTCTGGGTTGCTGGCTAGAAGTAAGGGAGAGACTGATAAAAAATCTGGGTAAGAAGACGGTTCAATTGCGGGTACCTGGGTCATTGTGGACCTAATAAGGGCGGAAGTAGGTAATCGCAAGGGTTCAATGGTTAGCTCTGACCCCAAGTGAATGGGTAAAAGCCATGGTGTAAGTTGCCAAAATCTAGATATATATATGTGTAGGACATATGATATCTAGCAAAATGGAAATATTCTACCATCCAATGATCTGGAGGCACTCGGAGTCGAGGTAAGCAAACTACAGATACCATGTAGACCAATAGTGAGGTAAATAGAGGTTATGATGACTATATCGGGCTGAAAGGTTTGGTACATTTCACTCAAAGGGGTTTACGGAAATTTGGGAACTGTAACACCACAGGGGGAGGGACTTGGGACATCTGTGGTTATTGATAACTAATTAGAAAGATTATGGCTTGAGATACAGACTGGGTTATGGCAGCACCCAAAAAGGCGGCTTGAGATACAAACTCGGTGATGGCAGCATAATAGGTACTAATAAGTTAGAGATTACCAATGATGTACTGAATTTCTGTTGTAAAAGAATGTGTTGTATAATGCAACCACAATAATAAGTAATAAAGAGACAGTGTCGTTAAAAATAATAATAATAATAATAATAATAATAACATAAAGGAAGCTTTTACAAGTTCATTGTCATTATATTATGGTTTAAAATTTCTAAATCTAACACTAATATTATATTAATTTAGGTATAATACAATTCTCAATATCTTCTCAGTACAGAAACTAAAGAAACTTTATGAAAAATATTTGAGTATCAACCTTAATCAATTACACAAGTCAATTTAATAATTAATCTGGTAATTTAGAAAATAATGAATCTGAATCCGAAAATTTAAAAAAATTCTGCATAAGGTATAAAAAATTTTTCTTTATATTTCGATGTTTAAATAAATTTATTTATTAATTTTCCCAAATAAATAAAATGGCTTCGAACTATTTATCATAAATAAAGTTTAAATTTGTAACGATAATTATTGCTATTTGCAAATTGATATAACTTTTGATAAAATCTGTCTAATTGTAATCGAATATATATAATTGTGCACAATTGTATGCAATTTCTTAATGAACATTTTTTTAATTTGAATTTTATAGATCTATAGAATTCAAAAAAAAATATATATATTAAATTTGATCACTTAGTTTTTTTTTTAAAAAAATGTCAATGTTTATCATTAATAGAAATTGCATTAAGGGTAGGGGGCATGTTGATTATTTTTCATATAATCTTAGTGGTAAATTTTTTTCTTTAGAAAATAAAAATGATTTTATTAATTAATGTGTTTTTAAAAATTAAATAAAAGTTGTAGAATAGGTTCTTCTGATTCTAATAGTAGTAAA